CGTGTAACTGCCTGTTTACTTCCTTCCTTGAATTTCGCTTACTGCACCACAACCTGGTTCGTTTTTTTGTATTCAATTTGTCCACCGGGCTGTGGTAGGTCGTCACATGTGCAACCAAAGGTAGCTGAATGGTTTTTTCGTTATGTCGTTGTGTGTAAACGGGGGTCAAGGTACGCCTTTAGTCCTCGCTGTGTATTTCGTTGCTACACCGGTTGGCGCCAGGAGGCGGGTGGATAAATTGTACAGACCACCTCCATAGGTGACAGGCACCTACTGCTAGAGAACTGCACCCGCTTCCTACTCCCACGCGCTTCGTACAAAAGCTAGGTCTTTGCGGATATCCGGTGTACGCTTAGGACAGGCCATTGTTGATACGAGAAAAGGTAGTAACTGGCAGGGGTTAGCAGCAGAGGCGTACTTTCCCGAGGCCTTTGTTTTTGCGTTGTTTTTTTTCGCTTCGCGTCGAAGTTCCTCGTCAGGGCGTGATCTTTAGGACGCAACTATCGCTCAGACAGGTTTTTGTGGTTTGTTGCGTCGGATAGGTTTGCATCTTAGCTATGATTTGACTATCGATTATCGGAACCCCACAAGCGCCAGCACCTAATAATCCGTGAGAGTCGCGTGGTTGCGCGTGAGGTAGAATCACAGAACAGTAGGAGGACGACGATGACGATTTTCAGTGTTTTGGGCATGAACTGGAAGACCTTTGAGAGCGCATCTAATATGGCTTTCTCATATCAGGGAAGACAATGGAATCAAATTCAGCATTCCCCTTTAACTAATAGGCCTGCTGAGTATGTAACCTCCAAAACTTTGGTCCCTTTCAGTTAGGTCCCCTACAATTAAAGTTTCAAACAGTAAACTTTCGGCCTATACAATGCCGGAAGTGCCCGATTCACGCACAGAAACCTGCGACCGAAATCTAATGACTTTGAGAACAATCTTAAGATAATTTTTTTGGTTTATAGATAAGCAGAAGTGATTGTGCACCGCGATTTAAGCAGGAACAAAGGGATCATAAATAAACCAAGAAGCACACACATACATAGTAAGCGAAACTTTATACCGCAAACTTGCAAAAGTGTCAAGAATCCCGACATAGACGCTATTTTACCCGATTGTGTCGTGAAGGAGGCTATTGGCTGCAAGGAATCGTAGCACTCAAGCTTTTTGGAATTTTCGGTGTTTTAGGTATGATTGCAAAGCGGTTGCCCATTCATCGGTAGTCAAACCTGCTATAAGCCATAGTGGGCGGGGATTGACTGCAATCTAGTATTCCCGCTTCGATGTCTCCACGTAATAGGTCTTAAAAACGTCTCATTCAGGAGGATATGCCGGCGGCGGTCGACTAGAAAGCTTGCAAATACTACGTCTCTGGGTCTTTGATGGCTGTGTTCCGAGGGCCAAGTCCTGAATGTAGTACGCGCAGACGAGGTCATTAGGTATGTCAGGAGCTGCGCCCATCCCTTGCATCAGTTAACTCACCGGCTCGGCCAGTGGCTGGGGCCTGAGCATGGGAATAGAAAGTGAGGTCGACGACTGAGCGCAGTTTCCTCAATATACACAAATGATGCACTTAAAGATATCAAGGTGCGTTTGAATCCTTGGTTTGAAAGGTTACCAACTGATTGAATAAATAGGTCCATGCGGCCGGTCCAGTGTGTAGAGTCGCTGACTGCCGGACAAATATGTAGACCGCAATGGGTCCTCCTTACTTTGGCCTCCATGGTACTCCCGCTCCGTGAGATCCGAACCAGGCGTTGCAGCGCGCTTGGAGGCGGCTCCGGCCGAGCTAGCCACATGCACCCTCTTTCACTTTCTGGCTTCCTAACTTAGTCATGACACAGGACCCGGGGGTTGGGTTGAGGGTGAGGGCTGTGATAGTGCGATAGATGCAGAGCAGGTCTACTTCCAATATAAACGAATGCACCTGCAAGCCTTCACCAACCCCTGCGTCCATATTGACTTAAGGCACACAATGCATGCCGTCGAAAACTGTCATGTGTATATTTGTTTTAGTTTTCCTCTCAGTGCGCAATTCTCTTCGCCCTCTAGTTTTTAAAATGCCGTGGCCGACGGATTCCCGCCTAGCGAGCTATTTTCTTCCGGGCTATCCCGCTGCGATTGCCGCTGTCATGGCTGCGGCTAATAACATGCGGTCGCCCTCGATTAGTTCGCCGACCAGTTCCTCTGGGGGTGGAGGAGGAGGGGATGGAGGTGGAGGCAGCAGTAGCTTGTTTGGTATGTCCTCCGTCCCGCGCCAGGAGAGTTCTACATTTGGCCGCACTTCGGACACTAACGGCAGTGGATTCCTCAGTGGCCTCTCGGGTGTGGCAGACACCTA